ACCTAAGAAGAAAAATGTAAAAGGACTGATTAAACAGTGCCCATGTGTGCATCGTTTGCGTGCACGCGTGCTGCTGTCCCTCTACCTTTATGCAGGTCATCATGGTCTCTACTCTTCTCCCTTTTTGGGAGGAGGGGGAGGCAACTGAGTGAATGGGACTGTAAAACCAACAGCCAAAAGGACAAAGGACCCCAGGGGTATTAAGTTATGGGTGAGTGGGCCTCTTTAGGGCCAGCAGCTGACCCTGTGGAGAGGCCTCTTGTTCTGGAGGGAAGGGGGCTCGTGTCCCTGGACCTCAGTCCAAGCTGACAGCACGCCCGATATATACATTTACTCAGACAGTGGCTTTATGTGAACCCCCTCTATTAGTTTTTATAGCCTTCCTTCATCGAACTGACCGTCAATTCAGGAAGAAAAAAAAAGATGAAATCATGCACAGAAGATGAACAGAAGATGATCCAAATTTACATTTTCTTTTAGAAAACAACTTTCAGGAAACCAGCTTTTGGCAAAAATTCAGGCTGTCACTATAGACCTGCTGTGAGCATGTCAAAAACTGTTAAAGGATCATCGGAAATCTTTATTACGACCTAAACCCTGTAGGAATCTGGCAGAGGAAGGACGACGTGGGGAGAAAAGCAAACAGGGAAGTCAAAACGCCATAGAAGTAATGCGATAAATTCTTTTATTTTAAATTAAGTACAGGGTTACAAACAGCTGGCAGGATTTCTATTACAGCGCAGTCAGCTGAAAATGCTGCGCAAAAAGGCTGTAATTCAGTTTGTAAAGGAATTAGTCTAACACATGTAACTACTGTAGTATGGTAGCTGTAACTAACCTGTACATGTACTTTATTCCCTTCAAACCTAGGCTGTTACATGGCCAAGTATTAATGCAGAAACTTAGTACATGGAATGTACAAACACACAGAACACAAATCTCAAATATATACAGATCAGACACTATTAAACTATAAACAAATGGCATATAGATGCTAATCCACGGTCCGTATCAAACACTCCTGGTTTTTCTGGCAGGATTCCCTTCTTATTCTCACTCAGGCTTTACTGCAGGATAATCCAGATTAATGCAGATAATGCAAGATGAGCGTTTATAGCTGTAGTGCAGATTATAAAAAAGTGACATGAATGGAAGACAGTGCAACGAGTCTCCTTTTAGTTACACCCTAAATCGCTATTTACATTGTACTGTAAGAATTTTGCTCCGATGCAGGGTGTCACAAGAAAGTGAGGATTTAGTTAGTTAAAGTAATAGTTCAGATCTTTAGAAGTGGACAACTAACCACAGGTTAGAATCTTTCAGCCATTGGTACAATTGGTTGGTGAATTCATGCAGGTGTGTTTAAGCTGGGGTTTGGGGGGTATTCGGAGGACGGGTAATCCTCGTTTTTCATACTCCTGCTAAGCGCTACCAAAAGAACACAAAGTGACAGATTTGGGATTGTTTCGGTTTTAAAACCAGAAGATTCTCAAAAGCTTTTGGACAGGTAGTCTGTGCAGCCCGCTCTGGGCTAATATTAGCAGCTACAGGCTGTAACATGTGCCCTTATTGTGACAGTGCAGTGTTTCCCCTACCATTATACAAGCAGGGCGCCCCGCTCTGTCAACAGAACCAAGCGCCCTGCCTACCGAACTGACCCCTCCCACCCCCAGTTGACAACTGCTGGCACTGATGTAGCGCTAAGCTAGCAGTATGCAAAACTAAAAAGCACGCTAGTTAAAAGCTCAGTTTCCCTCACAGTTAGCCACCCCCACTTCCCCCCCAGGCTCGAAAACTAAACAGAACGCCACACAAGCGTGTCTCGTCACTCCCCACCCCCTAAGAGATGAGCGCCCTGCCAAGGCAAATAATGTAGGAAATATACAACGGAGTATTAGTGCCACGCTAAAGAAAAAAAAAAAACATTACAAGAATAAAGTCATACGGCAATAAAGTCAAAATATTACAAGACTAATGTTGAAATAATACAAGAATAAAGTCATAATATTATGAGAATAATGTTGAAATAATACAAGAATAAAGACATAATATTATGAGAATAACGTAAGATTACCAGAATAAAATTGTAACATTACCAAAATAAAATTGTAATATTCCCAGAATAAAGTCATAGTACTACAAGAATAAAGTCATACAACAATAATGTCATAATATTATGAGAATAAAC